GTCGCATTTTCGTACTGGACTAGCTGGATAAAGCGCGAACGTTTACCGGTCTGCCAGAGAAACACAGCCTGGCGTCGCGTCGCCTCCGCTCAGTGGAAAACATGGAAACGTCCGAAATGGTGGCGAGAATTTTCTGAATATTATCAAATACTCGCGTCAACCGTTGAAAAATGATCACCGACTTCCCTTATCTCCGAAATTTCAAATCTCCGATATCAAGTATTTTTAGAAATAATTAATTATGTCCAAATAGTTGGAATATCACATTCCGTGCGGTTCAGTTATGTGTAAATACGTAGATGGTAAATGTGCGTATATCACAGCTTGCATATCCAAACGCCTGATGTTGAAATATGCTAAATATACGCATGATACAGAAAATAGCGTCGGTCATAGTGACAATTTACAAGAGGAGGACACAACAAAGCTATTAGTTATTTCCTATTCACTGTTATATGCAATTTATGCATAAAAAGGAAAAATTAAAATAATATCATTTGTATTATATAGCAAAGACTTTATAATAAATAGTAGCAACGTTACAAATTGCATTATACGTACATACATGTCTTCATCTACACTTATTTCTGCATCAGTTATGTGATATTCATTGCAATCCATTAGACGATTAAAATTTGTATCGGAGCTCGATAACGTTTGTAAATTTTCTACCACGCTTCGATTCTAATTTATGTCCAAAAATATCGGCGGCGGAGAATTCCCGTCATTGAGAAAGGGAAATGAAGTCCCCTTTGACGCAGCATAACGACGAACAAGGCAGGGCTTTAAAAGCTTGCCGAAACAATTTTCGGGATGAAGCGGATGACGATAAATCGTAAGTACGGCGCGGAGGGAACGCCGCGGAAAGAAAACAGTCTCCCGAGCATTTGTTATTCCAGTATCGTGCGCCCGGTATATCTATAAAGCTGCGTACATCGAGAGAGAATGCCACTTTCAAAACTGTTGTCGCGTTTTCCATAGCCGTGCCCCACCCACGCGCTCAACCTCCTTCGGCAACCAACCGTCAACGTTAGAAGGTAATTCACGTTTTTGCCTGATGCTCGTTTGATATCCTTTCTTCGCTTTAAGCGAACATTATACGCACGCGGCGATAAACAAACGTCAATAATAAATAAAGTGCGTGACGCGTCCACATACGTCTTCGTCGCCGTCACTTAATTTAAATTGAGTTTCCACCATGTTTTTACAACCCCTCGCGTCGCCACGATTTAATTGGATGAATTTATTATTGAGTACACAAACTTTATGAATGTTCAAATATTCACTCACGTACCTTTCGCTAGTCATGTTACAATAGAATTTGTTTTTCATCAATCTGGATCTGTAGTCTCCATTAAATGTATTTCAACACAATTCTATATTAACTGGTATTTCATAACAAAACGTTTGTTTGAGAAAAGTTTCAAACTGGAAATGCCGTAGGATTAAAATTATTCTCATATTTGCTGATCTGATATTTCATTCCTATGTAACGTACAACGTAAAAAATTATATATATATTTCCGTTTGTTTTAATTTCCGGCGGATTAATTAGATCATACGAAGCAGATAAAATATTTTATCTATATTTCACGGTTCGTTTGTTCCGTTAAAGATTGATAATATTGCGTCGTACGTACATACGTTCTCCATTATGAACGGAAGTCAGAATCATTTCGAAGCACGTGTCTATCTAGATCTAGTTGGAAGTGGTAACAGGGAACTTCTGAAGCGGCGCTACATGTTTTTTGTGAGCCCCGGACACGTGAAGATCGGAGAACGTTTTCTCTCCACGCTTCACGATTACGTAACAATTAATGTTTTTTCCTCCCCCTTAGTTTTAAATATCCGGACTGGCTCCCGCCGCCGTCGGTGAGAACCCCTCTGTCAAACAAGGGACGCCGCGAGTGTTTATCTTTTTCCCTCCCTGCGAGCCGGTAGTAAAGTGTTAAGAGGAAATAATATCAAAGCACAGATGTGTGCACGTGATTTCCCTTGAAATGTTTCTGGTGTTGATACGCGAAAACATACAAATTGTACAATAAACGTGTGCAACCGCCGTAAAAGTTGCGCGTCATAAAGTTGTCGCGAACAACCAGAGGGAGTTCGCAAACCTATACGTATATGTACGTAAATAATTGTAAAAAAGAAGTGAAATGAAATGCACGTGTATTACTATAACGTGACGTACATATAATTACTGTCAATGCCTGGTGAAACAAAATCTATAGTAAATAAACTGCGAATATTAACGCATCAATATCTCCAATAATCTGCATCCACCAAGCAAACAAATACACAGTATTGTTTCTCTCAGAGTTACTTCAACAAAATACACATAACAGAAAAATCTAACGAGACGTGGGTTTAATAATTGTTTGCTTCGCGAAATGAGAGAACTGAGCAAGAAATATAAACGCGTCTCAAATGCGTTTCACGTGATATAATTTTTTATGTATTTGTATTATCTTGGAGTAATGAGGAGTGGCGTATAATTATACGTTGAAGACCTGGGTAAAGGGTTCAATTTATGGTATGTTTACTTGTACACCCGTCTTACATGAAACATCTGTAAACGACAATGGCAACTGTATACGAATCATCAAGTTATGCGATTCGGTAATTAGTTTACGAAACGGACCTCGAGTGGAATGAAACACAAGGCAACGATAACAGCCCCGAAATAACTTGAAACTGTTTCTGTTAGTAGCTGCTTACCCTCGATAAATATGTAAGTCACTCAAACAACTACTTTCTGCAATACCTGTTCGTTGCTTCGTGACACAATACAGAAAGAGACTTTATTACTATTATTATATCACAGTTATCGCACGATAAAATTAAGTTAGCATATTGCAATTTTGAATCGTAGCCAAAACCATCAGGAATGTTTTACTTAATCACACACAGTTCCTAAATACAATAAGTTTTCATATTTTGTTTTTCACTATTCAAACACAATAAAAATATTGAAAACGGCTTAAGGCAGCCCACGCTATATGACTGAACTGTGAATATGCAGATGAATACATAATGAGATACATCTTATGGCAGACATAAATACATGTGACGGAGGTGCAAAAAAGGGAAAAGAGAGAAATTGGACAACTGGTGAAACGCGTAACACGTTGCGTCGATCAACCTTACTGGCAGCCTTCTCCACGGTTCTTTTTTACATATGTCTCTTTTTTATCCCCTGTCCAGTCCCGATATGTACTTCTCGATGGATAGCGTCTGCGTTCGCACCCAACCACCATGAATTATACCTTTCAGCAGCGTACATACATATGTACATGGCACTAGCGTACGTATTTTTCTCGAGGTCGCTCGAACACAGAGCATCCCACATTGGTACATAATATTAAAAAGTTTCCTCTTTAGATACACTCCTACACTTAAAGAAATAAATGAATTACAATTATTATAGTTAAAACAGTTTCATGAATATGAAATCAATTTCATTTTCATTATGTACATATGATTAAATTAATATCAAATCATAACATGTATTCTCAAACATTAAACTGTGCACACTTCATTTACTTGAAATGCATTTCATAATTATAAAATCTGATTTATTGGTCCTTGAAGAACTGTTCGAAAACCTGTTCCGAACTCCCGAACAGCGTGCAAGCACGTGTAAGTACACCCGCGGGCGCAAAGAACTTCGCGTAGGTGAAGGAGAAATAAGTAACGCGCGATAATTCAGACGTGCTTGTTTCCTGTCCCGCCCGCGAGACTAATGTCGGCGAGCCGTGTTCACCACGAGGGAAGAGGGACCACTGTTTTCGCCGTTTCGGTACGGTTGTCCTATTAAAGTGTGATCCCCCGAATCTCGGTAACGTAGCTAACCGATCCGACTTGAATCGTCCTGAATGAGGATGGAGGGCAGTTTTATACGTTCGAGGCGGAACGACGATACGGATAAACGACGAAAGCGGTAACGAATGATGTCCTCGTAATATATTTCAGCGGTTGTCTCGCTCTCGGTCCACCCCTTCCTACCGTCCTCCGTCACCTCCTTCCCGCTCCTGAGGCACTTCCGGGGTCAAGATTCACGAGACACGAAAAAGGAAGAGGCGGAAGGTGGAAGAAAGAAGGGCGACAAAGGCTGAGCGAAAGAACCAGGGCCAGGAAAAGATAAATTGGAATCGCGCGGATGTGCCCTCGTAAGTAAAGCCTGCGCTTGCCGACCCTTTTTGCGATATTCTTAACCAATTCATGTCCCGCGTTTTTAACTAGCGAATTGTACGCTGCAAAAGTAGACGATCCACCATTGTCGTTTCGAAACGCTTATTTATACTATATCCCATAATATCAGAAACTCATTATGAATGACTGACAAATTGTACGCTAATTCGTGGAAATGCTCCAGCCACGCGAGCCTCCAGGGCTGTCTACGTTTATTATCGTACGTTACCTCCTGTATTTATCACGCAGTTCCAGCACCTGTCAGGATCAAACGAAGGACTAGAGTACTAAAGCAAAGAGATATCGCGATGCGTACAAATACACGTAGCCCAGTGTGTTTACGTTTGCGGTATACCGCGTAGCATTCAACGTGCTGGCTGCCCGAGAGATGAGGACGCGCGAACGCTTGGAATACGTAAAGGTCGCGCGGCACGGGGCTAGGAGCCCGACAATGGCCCTAATGCGACTGAATGATGATACGTAACAAACCTTATTCAACAAAAAGTTTCGGTCGGGCAAATTGAATCCAGAGGGCTCGGACTCTCCTGCTCCCCCTTCGAGGTCTCTTTCACTTCCGAAAGGAGGTGTGGAATAAGATCACGGCGCGGGCTCGTTGATCGCGTGCGTGAGTGCGAGCGAGCGCGGAGATGAGCGGCGATGCTCGCCGAGCATGGAACGAGAGCACGACGGGGAGGGAAAGAGTTGCCACGATCTTTCGGATGGTTCGGGTGAAGCGGCTTTGGTGGGGGTCGAAGGGCGGTCTGCGCGTGCGTGACTCGCGGCGGAACAGCTTCGCGCGGCGACGCTCAGTCTCGTCTGTCGCAATCCAGTGCAGATATACGTGCAATTACCCTGTCAACAGTGCTTAAAATCTCTTCTGGTGCTCGTGGCGTTGCATCACGCACAGTGATCGATAACCTTATACATCGACCGATATACGCGTCCATCGAGCGTACGACTTGAATCGCGCGTGAAACGCGATCCGCGATAAACGAGAGTATTTCACGTCTGGTACCGTCGCGGAGCCACGTGAAGGAAAAATTGAACGTCCCTCCGTCTCGCGGTTCGAATCGCCGCTGTCGCCAGTATCGCCGCTGCCTGTCGGAGTAGTCTACGGCGATCGGTCGGTGGTAGTTGGTACCGCGCGCTGCGTACGAAAGTTGGACGTTCTGGAGACAACGTGTGGTTTAACAGTTCAGTTTGGTCGAAGGGTGGTGGTTTGCCACCCGTCCGCGTACTATGACTATCTCGTGAAATCGGTGATAATTATCTGACTAAGTCGATTTCCATAAAGATTCTCATGTCACTAGACGTGTTCCATTAATCAAACGCACAGCCGCGTGTGGAGTGTCGGAGTTTCTGTGTGAACCGAAAGACTAGTGACCGAGAGAAAGAAACGTTTTCACGGATTCGAGATGACTCGACACCTGTGGCTAAGAGCAGCGTTCGCTTTCCTCGTGATGTCAGGTAAGTTCTTTCCAGTGGTGATAGCATCTCGTCCATGATTTATTTCGATACGATGAGAATGCACGGCACGTAATATGATGCGTTATAACGTGTAGACAAACGTGCGAATGTGACGCGTGGGACACGAGTAATCGTGTGTAATAGTGTGACGTGACGAAGTGACAAGGATCACCGACGCGTGCCGGATGAAACATCGTCGTCCGCTCTTTTTTTCTCGTTGACGTTGTCATTAAACTCGCGTCGTCTCCCATTCTTACGCTGGTGGGACGTGGAAAAAGAAAAATAAACGCGAAGTGACGAATAACGCGACATATAAAGTAGCGGAAAAGTATGTCTCGCATCTAGTTGCCACTATTTTGTTACTTGCGTTGTTTCCGCGGGAATTCTTTTTTCATCGTTACGCCCGGAGCGCGAAGCTGAGACAAAGGAATGCACCGGCTCGCGAAAGTTCCACCGAGCAAAGAAATATTTTTCTTCTCAAACCGAGCGTGGAAAGGAGTTACAAAGAGCAACGTTGAAAAGCTTTGTAGCTTTCGTTGTCGCGCCGGCCTAAATGATTCACTGAAATTGTCTTTTAGGTTTAACGCATTGACACGCTTTCCACACGAATCCTCGTTACCGATGACTTCCTCTTGGAACTTGAACACATATCGGGAATCGTGATTGTTTCTCATTTTTTAATGTGGAGAGCTGTTTAAAGCGATATGCGAGCTGTGAATGGTCGTTAAATTCGTATCGTGAAATTTCTGAATGACTTTCCAGCGTGCAAGTAGCTGCCACCGGCAAGTAATGACTTTGAAATTGACAAAGGAAATTTGGCCGCTCATCCGAGTTCCGTGCAATCAGAGTTCTTCGGTAATGCAAATCGATTCCATTCCTGTGTAGAAACGATTCCTACGCGTAACGGTGGTCTTTGTTGTGGTTTCGATGGTCGAGTTGGCCGGGCTCCCTCTCTTGTGCAAGCGAAATATCCCGTCTACCAGACAAACTCTAACGAGTTTCTGGCAAATTAAGGAGCTATTGCATTGGCATTTATCTTGTCCCCGTCACCCCTTCCTTTCTCTCCCTTTATCGACGTTCGATGGACAATACCCCGGAACCGCTCTCGTTGGGTGTTGGCTCGTTTGCCTTTGGACGGAAATTCAAATCGCGGAGTGGAAGGTTATCCCTTCGTCGCTCAGCAATTCCGTTTTCCCGCGCCTCGATCCCCGGCTTGATTACACTCACGAGACTCCGTTGTCGTCGCTGTGCAAACTCATTTGACTCCGGTACCTTCCTTTTTCGGCGATTTCCGCGCCGTGTACACTCGCCTCTGCCTATCGAACAGGGCACGTAGGCAGCTGCGCCGTACGGAGATACGAGCGAAAGCCCCGACCTCGGCCAAGAGCTTTTCCACGGGACGATGTACTCGAGACTAGGAGATCCACGCGGCTCAGCCCCGTACATTGTTAAGACCGGATACTTGACTAAGCTACTGCAGAGAGTCACTTTTGACTGCCACCGGGTAGAGTGTAATCTCCGCGGTTGACTTGTACACGGTAGCGAGAAAGAGACGATTTACGACACATTAACGGGCCTCGGGTTTCCCCTGTTCCCTCGCAAACTTTGCGGGAGTGACTTAACCGGAGCGACCGTGCACGCTACGCTACGGGAACGGCAATTCTCTTTACTGTCGTCGACGTTGCGCTACGAAACTTGGAGACGCGGGTACCCTAACACACCCACACACCCACCGTGAGCAGACCCTGTTATCAGGATCGCTAATAACTGAGGCTTTGCGCAATAGATACCGGGAAAATGACACGCTTTAATCCTGAGATCGACGAACGTCGAAATTGGTTTCAGGAACTTTATTGTTGTGATAGGTTCAGGATGCCGCGAGATGCTCAGCTACAAGCGAGGGTGTTATCCTGGAAATTCGCTTCCCAATTTATACCAGGAAAGCGAAACTGATGTCGGGATTAGAAGCTATTAGCCTGCGGATGTTTATGCGTTTAGGCAAACTTTCTACGGGTATAAAATAATGATTCGTTCGTTGTTAACAAAAATAACGATTATCACGCGCCAAGTGATTGATAACACATCGTTTATTTAATTGTCGAGGCACTGAATTCATCGCTTAGTATCTTCTAAAATTATTTTACGCGATTCGTTGTTTATTTCCTGTTGAAGAGTATTTTCATAATATTAAAAAAACATATTCTGTTGTAATATTAAATGGAGCACGTTCAGTTCTGCGTTTTATGCAAAATAGTGAAGCATCGACCCAGTTTGCGTAACATGTAAAGATATACGGAACATTTCACGCTTTGTTATATATATATATTTAGAGAGAGGAGAAATTCATATTTATGGCCCATTTAGTTTGTTGAATTTATGAAAATATAAATAGTATCAGCTCAACATCTACAGTAATGACCATGATCAAAAAATATCACGGTTCACGTATTAATTATTGAGTTACTACTTGTAAGTGTCCTATCAGAGGTATGAAACAATTTTCGCGTTTTCAAACGAAACATAATAAGTTTTCAATGTCAGTTGCATTACGCTAACTAATACAATACACGGAGAACTGAAACTAACCACGAGCACAACAATAATTAGCGACATAGTATTTGTGAAATTAATTGCTTGTGTCATGTATATTCAATTGACGTACATCGATTGTGAGTGTGCGTATGGATGCACAAAATTGCATAGTAATCTCTTCTATGTATTCTATGCTATTGTTGTTGGTGAAATCGTTCAGCCAACGTGTACAATTGAAGATTTATTTATATAATCGACGAGCCATGAACGAGTCGACTAGAAACGTATTTTTAGTTTTTTTTTTAACATTCCACACTTGTTCATTCTTTAACGCTACATTAGCATTCCTTTATTCGACCTACTTTTATTCCTCACTGATTTATAATAATTTTAACACTACACAATAGAAATTGTACCGCAGCTGATAAGCGCGTAACAAGGGATGGTTAGATTAGTCTTGAGACGAATAGTGTTCTCTGAAGGAGCAAGGGTGGTATCGCGGACTGTCAATCTCCGATCATAAAATTACAAGTTATCTCGTTAAACCCGGGTAGGATGTTTCTCCGTCCAATAACTAGAAAACTCCTTTCTGAGAGTGAAGAGCCACTGGGGTTCCGTTGAAGATTAAGGGCAGCTTTCAGTAAAACGCTCGCTGGGGCTACCAAACGGGTTGAAACGAATGCGTCTTCTCCTTCTCGTATGCACGAGTACGATTCGAAAGGATAGAAGGGCCAGGAGGACGAAGCGGAGAGCAAAGGTAGAAGGTAAAAGAGAAGCTGCCGGAGGTGGAGGGCCCCGCCAGTGTCTTTCGAGTAGACGGCGTGGCGGCGGCGCGCGGCGTGACTGTCGACCGGAACCCCGGGGGGCTGTAATTTCATCTCGCATTAGCTAGGGAAAGTCCCCGCGGGATACGCTGAATGCATCTCACGGTTCGCGGACTTCTTCGGGGCAACGAAAGAGAGCAAAGAAAAAAAACACGTACACACACACATACACGCACAGTCGAGCTTTGAATGGACCCGCGGCTTTCTTGGATTTCCATTGCGGCGTAAACGCGCATCTCTGCGGTCCGCATAGCATAGCGACCGTCCGCGACAGCCACAGTCACGACCAAGACCGCGTCGCAAAAAGGGGACTCCATCACGCACCGCCTTAGCTTTTTGTCAATTTTCGTCGGTATTCGCTAGAAAGTCCTTAGCGAGCCCTGTGTGGTTGTAGAATCTGTCCAGGATCTAGCGCAGAAAGAAATAAATGCAACGTGTCACTCATCCTTTTCGCTTTCATTTCTGTGGTATGAAAACGAGGTTTCATTTTTTTTCTTTCAAAATCCTAGGTCTCGTTTATAAAACGTTCAATAATGATTAATGAACTTTCACGTAGCATTCTACTTTACGCTATCGTGTATTTCGTTTTTATTTATACGTCGTTCGTATTTAAAAATTTGAAATATGTATGGTTGCTTTTGATGCTGAAGTCTGCGGTATTCGTGCTTCTCCCGGGTGTGTCTCAAATCTAGAGCGTAGAAATGTGCGTGCACGTGGCGGACGCGACGAGAGAGTAAGTGGACGCGAAAGGGCCGTAAAGAGATGAGTTCCGAAAACGAAGTAAACGAGAGATTGGCGCGGGCGTAATTTTAGAAACGCGTCGTGAATGTGAAGGGACGGTCGTACGTCTAGGGTGAAGATGGTTTAATAATATACACGAGTGTCCGACGGCCGCGAATGCGATAATAAACGATTTGACGTATACTGATATGACGGAGAGCGATTATTATCGTTAGAATCCTGAATTGGGAAATGCGTGCGTTTACCCAGAGAGCTTGGTATGATTACCCTTTTCATCCTTTGCGTCCTCTGATTAATTGCGTGTGCTGCGTTTCTCGTTAGGCGAAAATAGATTGAGATAATTCATCGCTGACGGCTTCTCCAAGTGTATTCGTCCGTGTATATGTCCGTGTGTAATGAGTAAGTTAACAGTATTTGGATTTGTGGAAATTACAAATGCACGAGTAAACCGAAAATAATTTTAGTCCTGCTGTATTGACGCGGACAAAAGAGGAACCATAAACAGTGAATTTTAGGAATGTTACAAGCTTCAATTGTACAGCTTTCAACTGAAAACAATCAGAAATAAAGTATATTTCCTGTTAGAGCCGGACGTAAAAATAGTTTGCTTTGTGTATTCAACCTCTTCCATTGATATGCCCTAACTCCGGACAAAAGCATAAACGTTCGTATAGTGTTCACCGGGTGGGCCTGTTTACTCGCTTTATCGAAGGCGTTTGTACCTCGTTTTGTCATTGCTTTTCGAAACCGCGAAAGAGAATATAATTCGGAAACAACAGTGCTCTGTCGGATATTGCCTCGTGAACGGTTTTCTCATGGCATCTCGTCGTATTACGAGCTTGTCTACACGCGTAATGGCCGTCTTGGTTGCAAAAATATCCGTCGAAAGAAAACTTTACGTCT